CTATAACACAATGTTCCAAAAAAGGGGAACAAAATAAACTTTTGGTGGTAGCAAAAATGCATAACTTTTGCAATTAATTATCCAAAACGGGTCTAGTTTTATGCAGGTTATAGGAAATTATAGGTTATAGTAAAAGCTGTTTTTTAAAATACATGAATCACTTGTAAACATGCAGTCCATATAGTGTCCACCTCCTCCTGCACACCTTAAACTCCTCCCTCAGTGACAGCGCAGAGCAGCATCATTTCTCCGGACCTTGTCGTGTTAATGAAAAGAAATTGTTGGGAACTGAGCGCAGCACCCCGCCGTGCGTATTTCAGAATAACTGCAAATAAATCGGGTTGCGTGCTGAGTTTCCACAGCACAGGTTAAACAGACACTAATGACACAGATATTATAGGCTCAGTATTACGGACTTTTCAGAGTAATATAAAGTGAACTCTCATACTTCATGTTGCTTTAAAACAGCTTGAGTCTCACCTGCAGAGACCAGCAGGACGCAGACAGACAGTAAACTCCAGCAGAGACACGCAGACCTGCCAGCTCTCATTTCCGTGTTCGGACTTTTCCTTCTTCAGCTTTAAAAAAACTTTAAACTTCCTTATCGATAGATCCTGGGCGTGAGATTATCTGAGTTGTACTTTATTAAAAACATTAACATTTAATGTTGTTTAAATATCCGTGCGTCTTCCGCGTCTTCCGTGATCGTGTCAACGTAAGCAGGGGCGTGGAAGCGGTGGAGGAAGAGTAGGACTACCCAGGGCCCCTGAGGTGGGAGGGGCCTATCCAAACCTGAAACATTTTTTTTTTTTAGTTTGCATTTTTTTTTTGTTGCTTATTAATTAGTGTCATATTTAAATTTCATGAATAAATCAGTCAGGTGACTAAACTTTGATTCCTAACTAGCCGTGATAACACTAGCTGTGATGCCATTTCACCCCTTACAGATAAAAAAAATGGTTTAGTCCACCGTGCTGTGGGGCTTGCAGCAGCAGCTTATCTATATGAATGCTAGTGCACACAGTGAGTCATGTCTTTAAACAAGAAAGTAAACTGAAAGAACCAAAATAAACAAAGGAGCGAGAAAACAAACTGAGGACAGTCGACTGCTAACAAAACCCTGACTTTCAGCAGCCACAGTGCAAAAAGCTGTCAGAACTGCTGCCTCTCACTAAAATCAGTTGATTTCGTGCATCAGAATAAGTAAAAGTTTTGTTCTTTCAGGAAACTTTCATACTTCCTGTTCAGTTCTCATCCCGCCACTAAATTTAACCAACTCTGTCACGTTAAGAAAATGGTAAAAAAAAAAATCAGTGTAGCAGAAACATGTGAAAAAAAGTTTTGTTTCAGATATTTTAACTGTTACCCGGTTATCAAGGAACATTCCCACAACCTCAGTAACATCCCTACAAGACCCTCAGAATGCTGCAATCAAAACTTTTAGTCTTAATTAAACTTTTAACCTCACATGAACTTTATTTCATTTATTCTTGGTGACAGAAACCTGGCGATGACTCCAACCTCCTTGGAGCAGTTTCAACAGAGGCCGTTCCTTCCTGCTGCTGTCAGACTATTTAATTCAACCACGTGGTCAGACCCACACATCCTGAACCACAGTAAACACACCTCACTGCCAAGCGTCACTTTTTGTACACCACAACGTACATTTACTTACCTGTGCAGCTATAATACCTGTTAATATCCCACTAACATTACTGTTAATATGACTTTCCTTTTATATTTTTATCTCTGTTTCTACAATTCTTTTTATACGATTGCTCTGCTGTCTGCTGTATGTATGTATTCTGCTGCTGACAGCTTGGGATTCATAAAGTTTCTCTGATTCTGATTCTGAAATGATCATATTAAACGGTTTCTTCATAACTTCACAGTTACTTGTTTATAACATTTGTTATGATTGTGTGGTCAGGTGTTTATTCAGAGAGCAGCAGCAGAGCGAATGAGGCAGGTCTACAGATAAAGTGTAAAGATCACAGTTTCTCTTAAGTCACATGACTTCAACTGAAGTCTTTTACAGAAGTCATGTAATTCAAAAGTCCCTGCTATCTTTACACACAGGACCATTTGCACCATACTTAGAAAATTCTTTGTAAATGTCAGAAATGTGCTAATGTTTCCTCCCTCTGGTGTCAAAGGTCAACTTGGGCGACAGATGAAAGAGTTAGTAAGGATTTAAACAGGGTGAAGTCTCTTTGTGGACCAAATTGTTTGTGGAAATATAAAAAAAAAAAAAAAGAAGAAGAAGAAGAAATGTGGACTCAGACTCTTCTTTTATGCAATGCTGCCACTTTGAGGTATAATTTTTCTAATATTTCAAACTCAACTTTTCTGCAACAGCTTGGGGTTATGGCCTCTTCCTGTTCTAACAGTGCACAAAAGCAAGTTCCATAAAGACATGGATGATGGTGGATTAATGAGTTTGGAGTGAAAGAACTTGACTGGCCTGCACAGAGACCTGACCTCAACCCAACAGAACATCTTTGGGATCCATTTGAGTGCAGACTGTAAGTCAGGCCTTCTCATCCAACATCAGTGTCTGATATGACACTTCTGAAACATGATCGAATATTCCCATTAGCACTCCTAAACCTTGTGGAAATCCTACACAGACGTGCAGAAGCTGTTATTGCTGAAAATAGTGGGACAACATTATATTAAACCATATGGATTAAGAATGAGATGCCACTTAAGTTCATACGCAAGCAAATACTTTAAAATGTATCTGGCCTGTCTGGTCTGACAATGGATCTAATCTAGTTGGTACTAAGAAAGAGGCTAGGGGGAAATAGTTGACATCAGTAAAACACCATGTTTGAGGGGAGTAAGCTAAGGGTCACTGATTCCTCTTTTACATGGCAAACAGTAGGTGACAAAGGTCTCCAAATCCTGTTCAGTGAAGCTGAAGCAATCCTTAATAAATTGTCCAGCACTTCTATATCCTGTGAACTCTTTTGATGTAGAACCTTCTACACCAAAAACTATACTTTTATTCAACCCTCAACCTGTTTTCCCTCAGCTTTCCAAGGCTGGTGGAAACAAGTACAGTACCTGGCTTAAGTTACATAAAACCATTTCATCCTTGCCTTGTTGCTTTAATCTCACTCACTTTGATCTGTTCTTAAAACATTATGTTTATTTCATG